AACAAAATTTAAACAAACGTACTATTTTGTAGGTGATTAAGAGTAAACTTAAATTAGCAAGTCAAAGCATTATTTTTTTAAGTCAACCTTACTATTTTTGTATTTTTCCATCAACCTCTTTATATTACTATAGATATAGATAGATGTAATTAAGTACACCATCCTAGTCCTAGGTTGTAAATGTGTGACAAGTAGAAGCATTTAAATTGGTCAAATTGGCACCTTGATATATTAATTTAACTAGTTTTAACCCGTGCATTTGCACGGAAAATTATATAATAGAGAAAACAATAATAAAAGTTACAAAAATAGTAAAAGTCATAACATACTCATTAATATAAGATACAACATCTATAAATTTAATCATGTCAAACTCATATGTTAAACATTTGTGAAAAATGAAAATGAAGCAAATAAAAAAAAATCAAGTTTCTAATATAACAATCACTATTATATGTATTAAATTTATACATGTAATGGTTTTTCTTGGTTAGATGATTATTTTTTGTACTGCAAATATTTGTGGTCAATTTTTGTAATAATCTTTTTTGGGTACTATATCTGATATTAAACGTTATTGGCCAGGAATTTAAAAAATCCGAGACCAATTTCATTTGTTGAAAAGCATGAAGATTGGGCCATTAATATAACAATATTTGTATTAAGTACATTGTTATTGGTTTTCTTTTAAAAGAAAAAAAAAACTAATGTAGCCCAAATGATAGGGCCCTCTAGAAATCTGAAATGGAGATTTATGTGACACGTATAAAATGACAAATAATTCTGTGACACGTGCAAATGACCATTCGAGAATTAATTTAAAATGCGAGAAACCCTAAAAAATCTGAGGAAGTCTCGCCATTTCACACCCGACTCTTGTCAGCGCACATCTCTCTCCCATATTCTCTCCTTCTCAAACCCTAATATTCAACTTTTCGTAATTCAAAATCGCCTAGAATCTGACCGAAAATTTAGTTTTTTTTGGCGATTCTTTCCTCTTTTTTCAAACAAATGTCGAAACAACACCTAATTTCTTTTTTCGACCAAAAAGAGAGATCGACAAAGTGAAATCGACCCGTTTATACAAAATTGAAATACTGAGTGATAGTATTTTGGTTCGAACGGGCGATAAAAGTATAAGTCTGTGAAGATTTGAAGTTAATTCAATTTTTTTTTTAATGTGCTGTAAAAAAAAATTGTTTGATTTTCCAAAGGTTTACAACGTTTTTGACAATGTTCTTAACAGATTTGTGAAGATCCGAAGATAATGTAAAGTTTTTATTTTTAATTGTTTGAAAAAAAATGATTTTGTTTGATTTTCCAAAAAGTTTACGACGTTTTAGACAATGTTCTTAACAGATCTGTAAAGATTTTCTATGTTTTTTTTCTGTGTTAAAATTTTTTATGTGTTAAAATTAATACAAATTTTGTAAGGTATTAGCAAATTTGTTAAGGTCTTATTAGGCTTATCGTTTTTTTTTTTCGTGTTTTTTTTACTTGCAGAAAGCAGCAAACTGTTAGGAGTACCAGGCTTGTCACAATGAAGCATTTTTCGAAGCAATCGAGGCCCGATCCTCAATAGTTTTTGGTAACTTATTATTTTCTAATGTTTCAGTTCCAGCTTTTAACTTTAAGTCTTAAACCTTGCATTTGCTAATTGCTACTTATCAAGGTCTTTCTTTTTTTGTCCTTTTTATTTTTTAATGCCTCTGTTATATTGGTTTGTTTGTGTAGCTTTGTTTTGATTCACACGTGGGATTTTGGTTATGACTGGAAAAGTTTTAAGTGCATGGGCTGTTTGAATTACAAATGAATGATCATTATATTTTTTCGGAGAATCATAGCTTTTTGGAGGCGAACTGTCACACGACTTTGGTATTTGCCATAAGAACTTTAACTATTGTTGTTTGCATCACTTTGAGATTTGAAGATAAAGGGGAAAGTTGGGTATGGGGACAAAATTTATATGTTTCTTTATTTTTTATAAGCCTTTGGAACTTCTAGTGTTTAAAAGTTTGTTTAACAGCATAACATTAGTTTTTTTAATCATATTTATATGGGAAATTTTTAATAGGAGCAATCAATAGAAATAAATTTGATTGATTGAGAAAATGAAAATGGGAATAAATTGTGCAATAATCATGGATAGCATATTATATTTATTATATTTGTCTACAGAATAATTATGTCTACAAAATGATTCTTGGAGCCACAAATTTAGGACGTTTTTTTTTTAAATTAGCATAGCACTATTACTTTTTAATTATTATGAGAGTTAATTTTCAGATTATATACCAAAATTCTTTAATTTTTTCAATTTCATTTTCCCGCCTGGAATTGTGTTTTTAAAAAAATAATTCTCCAAAAGTCTTATTCAAGATACTTTTTGTTATTTAATATTAATAGGCATATTTAAAATGTGCTATAATCATGGTTAAATTTTAATAATTAAGTCTGTATCATGATTTTCTTTGACTGAACATCAAGAATTTTTTGTACTTTATATTTCACGCTTCATATATTTTATGATTTGCAGCTTTAATTTGATAATTACTACTTATTTGATATGTAATTTTTTTCTTTTTGCAGGAATTGCATTGCAAACACTATTGCGGAGAAGGAGATTTTGAATTTTATATTTATTTATAATTTATTTTTATGTTGGTTGTATTTTCTTTTATTTAATTTTTATTTGTTGTTTGTTAATTTATTTCAAGATACTATGCATAACAAAATAAATAATATACTGAGCAGACTAATTAATTGTTTAAAAAAATATGTGAACATTTTCAATAACTCCAATTAATGGCAGAATTGTTTTGTTTCCATGTTTATGCATTTATTCATTCCCAAAATTGAGCTGTTCTTGAATGAAGAAAATAAGAAACGAAAAATAAATAATATGTAACTGAAATGGGCGGGAAATGAAAAAGGTGCCAGCTAGGTAAAATTAAATAGGTTTTCTTTAATGTTTTGAGCTAGTAACTAGTATGAGTCCCGTGCACTGCACGGGCAAGAGATATTCATTAATATTTATAAATTAAAATTTTTTTATTAAATAATATTTGTAAATTAAAAATATTGAATCAAATACCTATATTAATTTGTTGAAAATATTATATAAAGTTTAAATTGTGAAAAATTACATAAAAATGTCTATTTAAAATTAGTACACAACCCATGCGATTCATATAACTGATAATAAATTACATTATATTCGTTTCAAAATAAGTGTCATTTCAAATTTTTTATTCAGAAATTCGATTTGACTATAATGTGATTACATAAAACAATTTTTTATTAAAATTTTATCATATATTTAACAACATATGTGAATAATAATTATAGATATAAAATTTATATTGTTTCATTACTTAAAATAATTTATTTTTGTATAAACTATTCAAATAAAAAAAAATTAAGTAGTTGAGTAATTTATTGAACTATAAATAATTGACTATTTCATTCACGTCCAAGTTAATATTGACTCGTAAGTTATGAATAATTGTTTTTTTATTTTTAATTTTAAATAAAAATATTTTTATTTTTTTATATATTATATACCAAAAATTTAAACTATGCAACTAATAAAGGTAATAGCTGCAAGTTTTGTCAATATATTATATTTCACATTTAAATTATTCAACAAATAAAGGTAATAGCCGCAATATTTGACCAAAATAATTTTTTACATTAATTACATTAACTTAGGCAGGATTTTTCAAACTTTGGCAACAAAAAAGAATTGCCCAATTTAGTAATTCTGAATTTTTAGGCGGGAAAACCAAATATTATTTTATTGATTTTTAGTTACTATTTCAAGTAAATATCATTGTCTTTTTATATATTAATAGATGTCATATTTTTGTAGCGTGCTATGCCACGGGATTTCACGATTTGTTGATTATTAGATATTTAATGATAAATTGTTTGAATCAAATAATTTGTTGACATTAACGTGAAAAAAAAATATTATTTAGTAGTAAATTTAAATTTATATCATTCATGATATTAAATATTCAATATTTGATTTTATGTTTATATTAAGTACATATTACTTAGGTCACATAATTTCATAATTTTTAATTACTTATTTTGATTAATAATCAAATAATTTATTCCTTTTTCTTTTGAAAATCTAAGGACTCTTTTTTTTTTTCTCCCCCAACGAAATGAAATGAGTCTAAAATAATATATAATTGGATGTGATTTACTTGCCAAACATTGGATGTGATTTATTGGTTAATAAATTGTTTAAGCCGGACATGCAAAAAATTTCAAAAATATTTGCTGAAAATTGTTCAAAACGAAAAATAGAAGCGGGAAAAAATGACTAAAGAAGCGGGAAATAAAATATTTTTTTCAAAATTTTTCAAATAGTTTTTCTTCTCCTTATTATATAGTAATAGATTATATATATATAGATTATTTATACTCCAACTTTCATAGCCGAAAGAAGGGTTATATCGAAAGAGTTTAGGTAAGTAATCTTCGTATTACTTGGGGGACTGTTGGGGCCCACCGAAAGATTTAGAATATCGACACCATCATGAACTGCCTGTTATAACATATCGAATCGTGTGAGTTTGCTCTGTACTATTAATCAAACAGAAAATTAATAAATAAATAAATACATAAAAAAGCATCACTAAAATGATAGTTATCAAGATTTTATTCTATATTATCAAGACTTTCAGTTTGTCTTTTCCGCTTTTTGAGCCTAAGCATAATTTCGCATCAGAATCTTTAAATTATAGAACACGCCAAAAGCAATGCTTCTGTCTGAACTCCAATGTTATAAGCTTTGCATAAATAAAACAGAAATGCACACACACAAAACTTCACATTTGAGAATACCTGATCAATGGCGGCAACCACATCTGCAACAAATCCTCCGAACAATCTGTAGAGTGCCTTGATTGTATACAGCAATCCTACACAGAGACAAAAAAATCTACTAATTGAACAAAAAAAAGGCAATCAATCGTCAAACTATCTGTAATACAATGGCTTCAATAATAATTCCAAAGGATTTCTCCTTCTCATCAACCGGCACCATCTGGAAAACCCTAATCACCCTCGGCATAATCCTCTACCTCCTCCTCCTCCCACTACTCATCGCCACCCACAACCCCACCCTCACCCTCCTCCGCTGGTCCACCCCTCCACCCTCACCCTCCTCCACCACCACCACCGGCACAAACCTCACCCACATCGCTTTCGGCCTAATGGGCTCCGTCCACACATTGGGCCACCGCCGGGCCTACCTCGAATCCTGGTGGCGGCCCAACATCACCCGCGGCTACGTCTACCTGGACCGCCCCCCACCCCCCAACCTCCTCCCTTGGCCCAACACCGCCCCTCCATACCGGGTCGTGGACAACCTCACGGACTACTACAATCGGGCCCATCCCCGGCGCCCTTCGATGACACGCATGGTCCACGGCATATTAGAGCTCTTTCGGGAGGAGCACGAGAACGTGAGGTGGGTCGTCATGGGGGATGATGACTCGATTTTCTTCGTGGATAATATAGCCGACGTGCTGGCAGAGTACGACCATAACAAGTATTATTATCTCGGGGGGCACTCGGAGACCGTGATCTCGAACCATTGGTTCTCGTTCGATCAGGCGTTTGGGGGAGCAGGGATTGTGATGAGCTATCCGCTGGCCGAGGCTCTGGTGAGGGACATGGACGGATGTTTGGACCGCTACGCGAGTAGCTCGTCGGCAGATTTGATCACCATGACTTGCATTGCGGATATCGGGGTCAACCTCACCCCACACAAGGGGATCCATCAGGTAATAATTAATTTAACTCTTTTTTTTTTTCTTTTTTGAAAATATTATTGAACTAAAGAAGTATTATATATTTAGGCCAATTGGTTCGAATGCTACTTATACAATGTCGAACCGGCAGTGTGCATTTTTTGGACGGTGGATTTATAAATTAGATCATAAAATGGAATCAGCACAGAAAATAATATGTGAATAAGTAGGAGATGTTTCATATGTTTTAAGTCCTTCTGTTGTTTGTGTTTTCTTTCTTTTGCCTATTAAGGGAGAATGGTTGGGTGCAAACATAATATACTATCTTTATGGAAAATTTACTGTTTTATCCATTATCTGCAGGTTTTGAAAATTGTGGTTCTATTCCGTATATATATGCTGGATATTGTTTGCGTTTGTTGAAATCCAGGTTGATTTGAAATCATATGTAACTGATGAGAAATAAAATTTTCTGGATTCCATATTATCATAGTATGAGATAATAGTATAGGATTGGGATGGTTGGGGATTTGGAAAATTGGGAACATCTGACTTTAAAAAAAAAAAAAAAATTGCAGTTTTTGTCTAATACAGCAATATTTTCGCAGATACGGAAAAATAATTTTCAGGGACAGCTTCTCCTTATTCACTACATATTATGGTAACATCCTTCACAAAATTACATTAATTTCTGCCATATTTGAACATGTCAAACTACTCTCATTGGCGTACCTTAGCTCTTTGTCAATTAATTAGTCCTCTTGTTTTTTGTTTGGACATCTTGCACGCCATTTCCGTAGACCTACGGATTATTAAATAAAGTTCCCATATTTTTTTAATAAAATATTAAAATTATTTAGTATACATTATTCCTCGGTCAACCAGGTGTCAGCTATTGCACGTTTTTGCCTCATTCCTTGTGAATTCACGACATCGTTTAATTTAAATTACGCAATTACATTATTTTGTTGACTAAATAACTATGACAGTTGGACAATTTAGTACTGATGCAGTAGTAGGAATATTTCTAATTCGTTATCTTATTGGGGTTCTATGGGAATAATTCAAACAGTGGAGATGAACATAATTAAATACAAACACATGTTACTTTAAGTCGAATTCCGTATTTTATGTATGATAAAATATATATTATTTTTATGTATGTCTATTATGTTTCTCGATTTTTCTAATTTTCACCAAGTTATTTTCTTTTTTATTTTTTATACATGATAATTGTATTAAATTAAAATATAATATATAATACAGGTGGATTTGCACGGTGACTTTTCGGGTTACCTATCAGCCCACCCAAAAATGCCCCTGATGACTTTCCACCACTTTGACTCCATGGACCCCATCTTCCCCAAAATGAACCGTTTCCAATCCACGCGCCACCTCATGACGGCGGCCGACGCCGACCAATCGCGCCTCCTCCAGCAGACCATCTGCTACCACCGTCACCTCAACTGGTCCTTCTCAATCTCCTGGGGCTACTCCGCCCAAATCTACGAGAACCTCTTCCCACGGAGCTACCTTCAGATTCCCATCGAGACTTTCAGGCCGTGGGCCAAAAGAAACCCAAAGCCCCCCTTTTACATGTTCAACACGCGCCCAAGGGCCAGTGACTCTTGTCTGACCCCTCACTGGTTCTTTCTCGACTCCATCTACAAAAACGTGAGAGGCGATGAGATTGTCACCAGCTACGTGAGGGCTCGGCCAAGGGGCCTGCAGCCTTGTCCAGTCGGCGGCAATCACTCGGCTGATTCTGTTACCAGCATCCGAGTCGTTTCGCCTGCCTTAAAGCGTCTTCAGGTACGTGGCTCGATTGCATTAATATTTTAATATTAGGGCACTCGTGTAGGCAGGCAGTTCAAGTTTGCGCAAACAATAACATATATTTGACAAAAATGCATTTTTAGTCATGTTGGTTAACGACATAGCAATTTTAGTCTCAAGTTCTAACATTTCGTATTTTAGTGGTTTGATTTAATATTTTGTTGCAATTTCAGTTTTTTGAGGAGTGAAATTGCAACTAGAGATGTTAAACGGGCTAGCCCTAGCGGGTTTCGGGTTAAACGGTCCGGGCCTAAAAAGCCCGGATTTAAACGGGCTACCAAAAAAAGGACCTAACCCTAACCCTAGCGGGCTTCGGGCTAAACGGCCTATGCGGGCTATAGTTATAATAATAATAATAATAATAATAATAATAATAATAATAATAATAATATATAAAAAAATAAAAAATAAAAAGAGTAAAAAATATAAAAAAATAACAATGGCTAGTTAAAAAATGTTTTCAACGGATATTTAGTATTTACCGTCTATCACTATGTTTCATGTATTTCTTATTAGTCGTTCTGATTGGCTTAAATATTTTGGTATGAAGTACAATAACAATATTGTTAATAATTATCTTTCAAAATCATAATAATCCATTACAATTCGTACTTACATGTGAAGTAGAATATCAAAAATGTAATATACAAGGAATCTAAGAGCATATCACTTACTTGATGCAAACATTTACACCGCCCAACCCTAGTTAAACGGGCTAGCCCTAGCGGGTCTCGGGCTAAACGGTCTGGGCCCAAAAAGCCCTAATTTAAACGGGCTACTAATAAAAGGACCTAACCCTCTTTTTTTCCGGGCTAAACGGGCCGGCCCGTCGGGCCAAGGACCATTTAACATCTCTAATTGCAACATTATAGGATTGAAATGGAGCAAAATTTTAAATTATAAGATTTAATTTGCTAATAAAAAATCTATTAATTTGAGAATTTGTTGCAATTTCAATCCTTCAATGACTGAAATTACACCAAAATATTAAATAATAGGACCAAAAGACAAAATTGCTAGAATCTTGAGACTAAAATTGGTATGACATTAAATTAATAGGACTTATAAAAATGCAATTTAACAGATATATTTGGATAATTAATTGTGTACGTCGTGCGCCTACAAGTGAAAAATACGATATTTCCGAATATAAATATACAATTTTGTTAGAAAAATTCACTCTGTATATTATTTGATACTCTATATTTCTAATTGCAACAATAATATAGTAAGTTAGACAGTACTATCTAAAAAAGGAATTTCAATTAATTATTTTATTTAAATAGTTACATCATGTGATTTTTTTGCCTTTGTTTCTCTTCCATATTGAAGACGGATAGATGCGAATGCTGTGACATCTTGGGCGTGGACGGTGGCAAGGCGGAGGTTAAATTCAGGGAGTGTAAGCGAGATGAGATCATTGCTTAGGTTTCATATTGTGGAAGCACCGAGCATGCACACCTATAGTTTCCTGTTTTTACATTTTATGTATATCAACGGATTTTTCTATTTTCCGTTGCCTATTTTTTTAGTATACTTGGATTTATTAAATACTCCTTGCTGTTTTTTTGTTGCCTATTATAAAAAGTAGTTCTATTTATTTTTTATTTGATATATAAAATATAACTATTAAATAGAATGAAGATCACGTGTTGAAATATAATTAATCTTTATAAACGAAAACCAACAACAGATAAAAAAGTTTTAAGTTTTGAACTATATTAAAATTTAATTTTAATAAGAGTTATGTTGAAAAATAAATTCAATCTCCTTTACATAGACCTATAGTGAGCCAATTTGAGCTTTAGCATTTTTCTTTAGATTAAGCCACGTTACAAGCTACGGTATCCATTTTTTTTTTTCATATAATCTTTTGAATCTTGAAACAATTATATGAATTCTTTGTATTGATGATGAGCTAATGTGTGTAGACTTGACTGTGATTTATTTGAGGTTTAGTTATCTAACATCTACTAGTTATTGTCTTCTACCAGGAAAAAAAATGAAAAAAAAAACAAAAGAAAAGAAAAAAAAAGTGATAAAATGAAAACATTAATTAAAAAAAAGAGAAAAGGAATAAAGAAAAATGGATTAAATCCTATGATCGTACGTATGTAGTGTTTTCTATTGATTAGAGAAATAATTAAAGATCGTATCCTGATTATCGAACAATTAAGGAATGATAGATTGTTATTAGGTCGTACTAATCACCATAACCAGTTTAATTGAGAGTCTTTTCGGAGACATCCGATAAAATTGAAACGATTCAGAGAAGATTAGCATGACCCCTGTGCAAGGATGACACGTGTAAATCGAGGAACCAGTTTAATTGAGAATAGAAAAATTCTTTTTGCATTCGTGATCGAATTGATGGACCATCTCTATGAGTTTTTCATTTGGTTGAATATTTTGTCAATTTGGTTCACGTCTTTTGTTTTTGTCTTTCTTTAGATATTATTTTATTTTATTTTTCTAGTCAGATAAAATCATCAAAATCCTCCATTATTTTTATTTTTATTTCTTTCACGAATAGTTGCATCAATACTCTGTCTAGTCAATCGCTGTGGATATACCCTGCTTACCACTACTACAATTATTTTAGAGGTATGAATTTATTATTGTTCGATTCGACACCCATCATTATCAATTAAATATTGACTATTAATTAAATACTAGTACAATACCCGTGTATTACACGGGTGCTTGTTAAAAAATTAATATTAAATTTTAAAATTAATGAGAAAAATTATTTTATATTTTATTTACATTTTTACAAAATATATATATTATTATATATTTTTGAATGACACTTGTTACTTGTGCGACTTAAATGTGTTTTATTACAATAATTTTTATAACTCATATCATATAACTACGTACTTGAAATATAAATATATTAATTGATAAATAATTTTATTTTTTAATTAATATTAAAAAATAAATTTATTATTGTTATAAGGATAAATATATTTTAATTTTTTTGTACATACAATATGGATGTTAAATCGAAGTGCATCAAGAGATGATTAATTTGATATGTTATATATGTAAAACTGATAAAAAATACAAAAGTTATTAACTTTTAAAATACTTTTACATTTCAAGGGTTATAATAATAAATGATATTAAAATGCAGTTAATACATGTAACATGACAATAAATAATCAACACATTTATGGATAATCTGGACCTAATTAATTTTGAATTGGAAGTAAATTAAAATGTAACCAAGCCTCATAACGTAGCATGTAATTTTGCCACATAGGATCCCGAAGCATGCGAGCCTGCCACTTAGGCTCAGTACGTCCTGAGTTAATATACACTAGTACAATACCCGTGTAAATACACGGGTGTTGAATTAGGAAGCATATGTAAAAGTATTAATTTTTTTTAACTAAAAAAATTTAATTTTATATAAAACATTACTTTGGATTTTAATTACATTGTTAAATTATATTTTTTTAATCATAATAATTAAATACCCGTATACTAAACAAAACTTTCAACTCATAGTGAATTTTTGTACTTATATCATATAAAATTATCGATATTATTTACTATTATTAAGTAAAAAAATATATATCTTAAATAAATAGAAATAATATGGTGATCATCTTAAATATAAATAATAATGTAACTTTTTAAAAAGTATTTGAAATTTAAGTTAAAAAAACTTCTAGGGGCGGCGAAATTTTCCTCTTCGTTCTTTTCGACTTCTGATAACGTACTTTTTTGTGCTAACAGGTTGGTGTTTCCTTTTTGAAAAAGGAGATCCCTGCCGTTAGCGACGAGCTTGTGTGAAGAGTTGATCTCTTGTTGTCCATTCCGAAGGAGTTTCGTGAGTACACGGGACTCATCAAGGAAGACAGACTGCTGCAAGTTAACTAACCTGTCCCCCGAGCTTGCCAACTCCTCCTTTGAATCAGGTGTCCTTTTACCCCTTTTTGTTTGAAGTATACGAGTACATCCGACCTCATGTATCATTCATGCAACTAGTACTTTTTTGCAGTATATTACTCGCTTACTCAGTTTTGCGGGCTCACCTAAGTGAAAGAAGCCCAAAATTTCGCCCGTCAAAATCTAAATCCGCTAGCGAAGATGAGTAGACGGCTCAATTTTCTTTGCGGGTTGAGATTGACCGACGCAAGTGGGAGCCCGTCAAAATCCAAATCCGGTCCGATTTTATTTAAAACAATGTCATTGGCTTTAGCTTATTACATCCCAAATATCAATTAAATATTGACTATAAATTAAATATATTCCTTAGAATGAGGATCCGACCGCCCAACTGTCAACCTAATCAAATCCTGGATTACCTAAAATTAAACCCACCCTTTTTTGTCCCACATACATACACACGTAAGATCACGTGACGAAGTTGAACATAACGGGACTTCCTTAACAGAACCACGAAACATCCACGAAAGAGGGATCTCATTCACAAGGATTACTCCACCACGCTATAAAAGCCGCCATATCCCCCCGAAGAACACCAACTCATTCACAGCAACAGCAAAAATACTCTCAAAAGAGTGAAAATAAATAAATAAATAACAAACATGACGAAAATTGGATCGGCTCATAATGTGACCGTCTTAGGTTCGGGGGAGACGACAGTTGTCCTCGGCCATGGTGTTGGCAGCGACCAGTCAGTATGGAAGCAGTTTGTCCCACACCTTGTGGACGACTACACCGTCATTCTCTACGACAACATGGGTGCAGGGACCACCGACCCCAACCTCTACGATTTCAACCGTTACTCATCCATCGATGGCCACGTGGAAGATTTGATCGCCATTCTGGACGAACTCAAAGTCGAGGGATGCATTTTCGTCGGGCACTCGCTGTCCGCTTTGGCGGCCGCCATGGCCTCGATTTCCAGACCCAAACTCTTTCGTAAAGTGATCATGATTTCCGCTACCCCGAGGTACATTATAATTAGCTAGCTAGTACTACTATAGCTTATAGGTATCTTTTGAAATTAATTTGTAATGGCAATTTGATTATTAGAATGGTAAACTCGGAGGACTACTACGGAGGCACCGACCAGGAAGCGGTCGACCATATGCTGGCCGCCTTTGAGAAGGACCCCACATCTTTCTACTTGGACGTCGTGGCCCCACGAGCGGTGGGCGGCAGCCCGGACTCGGTGGCCGTGGAGGAGTTCAGAAGAACCATGGTTAAGGAGCGGCCGCACATTGTCTTACACAGGGCCCGCTGGATATTGTCTTATGACCTGAGGCCATACCTCGGCCAAATAACCGTCCCCTGCCACGTCATCCACAGCTCCAAGGACACGATGGTGCCGGTGGAGGTGGCTGAGTACATCCACCGGAGCCTGGGCGGGAAGTCGGTTTTGGAGGTGATTCCGACAGAGGGTCACTTGCCGCATCTCAGCTCCCCGGAGCTCATAAACCCGGTGTTGCTCCGCCATATACGGACGGATATCTAGTTACTTTATATTGAATCCTTTTCATTGAATAAAAATGATCCTTGTAGTCTGCTATACGCCAGGACATCTTGTAGCGTTTGATGTTGATCCTTTTCATTGAATCAAGATTGTTCTAAAGCATAATAACTTGTCACGTTAAACAACTTATAATTAAGTCATTGTTGAATTGGTAGGGGTAACTCTTTCGGGACATTTTAAAGACAAACCAAGGCCGGACAACACACTTAATTCAAATCATGTAACCTTTTTAGATATCGAATATAACATTCAGTAAAAAATACAAAGAAGAATAAAATTATTAAAAAAATCATAATATATTTTATTAATTCCACATACCATCACTAATAGACTTGAATAAAATATTAATATGAAGAAGTTTTAACAATATTGTCATATGATCAAGTTAACAATATTTGATCGATAAAATAAATTTGCTCACGTCTTTCCTTTAAGAGTCCCATAAGAAAAGGCATTATTTATACGAGACCACGTATATTGTAACAAACCATGTAATTTATAATTTTCAATCCGGATTCTGCAAAGGTCAATTGTTTATTAAATTATATTTGTAAATTCTTTATTTTTTTATTAATTGAATACAACGAATCAAGACTTTTTGTTTATAGATTGGTTTTTTTNTTTTCTAATTAAAGCAAATTGAATTGAACATTTCATTGGGCCGTTAAAGAATGTAATAATTGCAGGTTGATACAGTTAACCGTCCTTCTTCTTCCATAAAGTTCAGAAATCCATTGTAACGAAATAACCAGGTTTTCTAAAGAATTAGAGAGAATATTTGGGGACAAAAAAAATCAGCAAGAAAAACAGATTCAAACATAAACAAATTCAAACGAAATTATTTCATTGGAAGTTATACCATTAGAATATCCGTTAAAATTTCTATTCAAATATATCACTGCAAAATTTTCAATTAGAATATAACCATTTTGTTGGAGTGTCTCATTTATTGAATATATAAAATTCAAATTACAAATTGTCCCACCATTGTCGATTTCGACAAATCAATACTGGTATGTTACGAACCATTTTAGCATCTCCAGTAAACAGTTGTTATTATATGATCCAAGCAAAAAGGACAAATTGACATGACATTCTACAAACTGGAGACGAGAAACACAATTTTCTACTTAAGACTTCAGATATGGAGCCTATTGGATCCCTATCAAACGAGCATAGTCAACCCACCTGCAGAGCAAGGTTTTTTAACGTCGTATGCTTTCATGACAGATAAGGATAAAGAGAAAATACATTTTAAAAAAAAAAAAACGGAAAAGAACTCACAATAATGAACCCAAGAAAGTGTTGCCCGTTCGCACAGCAAAGCAAAGAGCACTCAGGATCAACTTGTGTTGATGAAGCATTGGTTCCAGAAGCCGTTGCTCGATAACGCCAGCCAACACTTGGTATCTATGGGAAAAACATATGAAGATCAGAACAAAAATATTTCTGGTAAAAGAAGATTTAGATTTTTCGGATTAAGAGCACAAAAAGAATTCCATTACTTGAAATATTTATCACTGTAAAAATTCAGTTGGGCTGATCAGCTAATTTATGGGAGACGGACAAAGACAATCAAAAAACATGTAAAAGACAACCGCAGGATATATTACCCTCTACTCTCCAATGAGTTTCGATATGTGATGGACCTAATCACTTATCAAAGGTATACATTGTAAAAGACATGAACTTGGCAAAAAAATTCACATTTACAGTCAGCATTAACCTCTTGCATACCATCAAAAAGTTAAGCGAACGATAATATAACCTAAATGGAAAATAAAATCCTTCAATATGAAAATTTACAAAATAATGGCCAGGGAAATAGTGTGTGTGCGTGTGTTTGTGCATACCGAAGATTGCTCGACACTGCCATATAGACACCATAGGCAACACTTGTTGATATTACAGGAACATTTTCCACCTCATCCCCAGCAGAGTGATCAACAGCTTTACGAGCATTTATCACTGCATTTGTCACGACAGTACCAACCTGGACATAAATAAATTATTGTTAGATTCAATTTTGCATAACTTACGCTTTAACAAAATTAGATAAATTATTGCATACACGTCTTTATGGCTTTTCTGAAAGTTCATGCAAATGGATATTATATCTACTAATTTATTGTTTATATTGTAAATTGATACTTTAACATGAAAGAAATTAGTGATGCTTAATGTTCAGTTAACTGCACATGGAACCTTCGTGTTGTCTTGAGTTGAGAAATTCTTATAAGCCAGTATACATACACGAAGAGACACAGTTATTTTATAGGAAGGCAATACATTTTTACTATGAATAGTCGCTTTTTTTACATCAAATGAAGAAGATTGCCTAGCACAACAGCCCAACCAACAGTCACTTAACTTTGAAATTCAGTTTGCTCCCTTAATGCAACTTTTTCTTATGAACAAAAACTAGAATTTGATGTAGATTATGTAAGATATAATCCTGCAGTTTCCTTGTTAGTGAAGTGCAACTTCCTTGCATTTTCATTACACTTTCATTGCACTTTCATGGCATCCATTTTGGGCTGAAAATCAGCTTAAGTAATTTCTAGGAAAGTCACTAGGATAGTTGCTTTTAGTTCTTATAAATAGGGGTGCAGTTTTTATTTGTAAACACACCGAAAAACTAAATACTCAATACATTGAGTTGTTCAAAATCTTCTTCTTCCATCCTAAAATTGAAACCAGGGACTAACAAGTGGTATCAGAGCCATGGAAAGTCAAGATACTGCGTCGACGGTGCAAGGGAGCGGAGCAGATGCTTCACCGCGCCAAGAGGTCATCATCCACAGGACCGTGCGGGACGTTGGCGGGGCCAACTGGCCGGTCCTGACAAACACAAACTACGGCGAGTGGGCGGTGCTGATGAAGGTCAAGTTGCGTGCGCGCAAGCTTTGGTGGGCCATCGAAGAAGGCACCAAGGATGAAGAAGAGGACTGCGCAGCGATTCTGTCTGCTGTGCCTCACGAGTACGAGGAGTCGCTGGGCGCAAAGGACTCCGCAAAGGCTGCTTGGGACGCCCTCAAGGCCATGCACATCGGTCTTATCGCGCAAATAAGGCGAAGGCGCAGCAGCTGCGGCGGGAGTATGAGGCGCTGGCGTTCTGCGACGGCGAGGCAGTGGAGGATTTCTCGCTCCGTCTGCAGTCGCTCGTCGGTCAACTGGCGACGCACGGCGTCACCATCACTGACGAGGAGGCGGTCGCGAAATACTTGCGCGTCGTGCCGCCTAAGTACGCCCAGATCGCGCTCTCCATCGAGACGTTGATCGACATGTCCACCCTCACGATTGAGGATGTGACTGGGCGCTTTCGGGTGGTGGATGACCGTGTGGAGACGGCGACGATAACTACCAGCGACAAGTTACAGTTGACCGAGGAAGAATGGGCGGATCGTATGCGCGAGCGGCGGCCCGGGGAAGGCTCCTCCAGCCGTGGCGGCTACGGCAAGCGCCGTGGGAAGGCCCCGCAGAAGAAGAAGAAGAAGAAGAAGGACGGCGACAACGCGCGTCCGATCATGGACACTTGTCGACGCTGCGGAAAGACAGGGCACTGGGCCCGAGATTGCAAGAATCCCAAGGAGAAGAAGAAGGCGCACCTCGCGCAGGTAGACGACGAAGAGCCAGCTCTTCTCATGGCAATGACCTGCAAGTTGCACGACGTCGAGCCAGAGTTGGAGGAAGTCAAGGCGATGGCTACAGAGCAGGGGAAGGCACAGGCCGTTAACCTCGACAAGTCAAGTGCCCAAGTCCACCTTGGACGAATGGACGGTGGCATGGAGCAGAGTTGGTACCTAGACTCCGGCGCCAACAACCACATGACCGGCTCCAAGGAGGTCTTCTCTGAGTTGATGATGGTGTAACAGGGACGGTGAAGTTCGGCCATGGCTCGAAGGTGGAGATTCGAGGTCGCGGCACCGTCATCTTCCGGTGCCAGAACGGCGAGCAACGCGCATTGACAGATGTGTACTATATCCCACAGTTGCGTTCAAGCATCGTCAGCATCGGACAACTGGACGAGCACGGCTGCGAAGTGCTTGTCAAAGGCGGCGTGCTAAAGCTCAGGGACCAAGACAAGCGGCTGTTGGCTATGGTCCAGCGTTCCCGGAACCGCCTCTACCTCCTCGACTTGAAGGTGGAGCAGCCGGTGTGCTTGGCGGTACGGCACACTGAGGAGCCATGGCTATGGCATGCTCGGTTCGGCCATTTGAACTTCGACGCACTCGGGCGGCTGAGGAAGATGGTACGCGGGCTCCCGCACATCAAGCACGCAGGCGAGCTGTGCGAGAGCTGCCTGGCAGGGAAGCAGAGGCGGTTGCCCTTCCAAAGGCGGCTAAGTATCGTGCGGCGGACGTCCTCGAGCTCGTCCACAGCGACCTCTGCGGGCCAATCACGCCGGCTACGCATGGCGGACGGCGCTACTTCCTGCTGCTTGTGGACGACTGTAGCCGTTTCATGTGGCTGCAGCTCCTGACGAGTAAGGATCAGGCGGCGGCAGAGGCAATCAAGCAGTTCCAGGCGCGAGCTGAGGCAGTCCGGGAAGCGGCTGCGCGTGCTAAGGACGGATCGCGGTGGCGAGTTGACATCGGTGGAATTCGCCGCATACTGTGCAAATCAGGGTTTGGTGCGCCATCACACTGCGTCGTACTCACCACAACAAAACGGCGTAGTGGAGCGGCGGAATCAGACTGTGGTGGGCATGGCCCGAAGCATGATGAAGGCAAAGGGCATGCCAGCGAAGTTCTGGGGAGAGGCTGTGAGCACGGCAGTGTTCATTCTCAACCGTGCGCCACGAAGGCCCTGAAGGGCATGACGACATTCGAAGCTTGGCATGGTAGGCAGCCCGACGTCTCGTTTCTAAGGACGTTTGGGTGCATTGGTCATGTGAAGAAGACGAAGCCCTTCCTGTCCAAGCTTGAGGATAGGAGCATGGTGTTCCTAGGCTACGAGGAGGGGAGCAAAGCCCATCGGTTCTACAATCCGCGTGGAGGCAAGGTGGTGTTTTCGCGGGATGTGGTGTTCCACGAAATGGCGGCCTTAGGAGAATCCTGGCATGGGGGAAGCCCGTGGCGTCGGCAGTACGTTCGTCATCGAGCATTTGGTGATCCACGGAGGAGGAGATACGGGAGTACAGGAGCCAGCTGCGGACCCGCCAAGTCCAGCAACTGTGGCGGCGTCGGATGAGCCGCAAAGTCACGACCATGGCGGGCACGCGCGAAGAGTCTCCACCAGCGGCTATGCACACGCCCCCACCACTGTCCCCTGTTGCGGCAGGACATGGGACACCTCCAGCAACGACAGTTGAGTTCGCCTTTCCTCCAAGCGACATCGACGAGTATGTGGATGCTTTCCACGACGGCGAGGAGATGCGGTTTCGCAGGATGGACAATCTCGTCAACGACTCGACTGTACCAGGCTTGGCGAGCCGGTTACTCGACGATCAGGAGTTGCTCCTCGTCAGCGCAGAGGAGCCATCGACTTTCGCGCAGGCCGAGCGCGATGTCAATTGGAGACGAGCTATGTTAGAGGAGATGAAAGCGATCGAGGAAAATGAGACGTGGGAGCTCGTCGATCCACCTCTAGGTTGTCATCCAATCGGGCTCAAATGGGTCTACAAGATCAAGCGGGACGAGTGTGGCGCCATAGTCAAGCACAAGGCGCGCCTCGTTGCTCGCGGTTTCGTAAGCGAGAGGGCATCGACTTTGAGGAAGTTTTTGCACCAGTGGCGCGATGGAATCAGTTCGCCTACTGCTGGCCATGGCGGGACTGGCGCATTCATCACCTGGACGTGAAATCGGCCTTCCTCAACGGCAAGCTAGCGGAGACTGTTTTCGTCAAGCAAGCCCCGGACTTCGTCGTCAAGGGAAAGGAGCACAAGGTGCTGCGGCTACGGAAGGCACTCTATGGGCTGCGACAAGCCCCGCGAGCGTGGAACGCCAAGCTCGATGCCACTCTGGGTACGCTTGGATTCACGCGCTGCGCGACAGAGCACGCGCTCTACACACAGCGACGGGGGAAGGAGGAGCTCGTCGTCGGCGTGTATGTGGATGACTTGATCATCACCGGGGCACGAGAAGGGGACATCAACGGCTTCAAGCGCGAGATGGCATCGAGGTGAAGCAGGGGAGAGACTCCATTACTCTCTGCCAGTGTGCGTATGCGGGGAAGCTGTTGGAGCGGAGCGGCATGGCTAATTGCAAGTCATGCGCGACTCCGATGGAGGAGCGGCTGAAGCTGACGAAAGCCAACACCGCGGGGAAGGTGGATGCAACACTCTACCGGAGTATCATCAGCGGGCTGCGCTACCTAGTCCACACGAGGCCAGATATCGCATTTGCCGTGTGCTATGTCAGCCGCTTCATGGAGGACCCCCGAGAGGATCATTGGGCTGCAGTAAAGCGGCTGTTGCGCTATGTCAAGGGGACGGTGGACCAGGACATCATCTTCCCCAAGACCGACGGCGGAAGTGGGCTGCGGCTCACGGTTTTCAGTGATGCAGACATGGCAGGCGACATTGATGGGCGGAAGAGCACCTCTGGTGTGCTCGTCTTCCTTGGATCGGCCCCAATCTTCATGCCAGTCGTTGAAACAGAAGATCGTAGCGTTGTCTACGTGCGAGGCGGAGTACGTGGCGGCAGCCACAGCGGCGTGTCAGGCGGTCTGGCTGCGTCGGCTGGGAGAGCTGACCGGCGAGGAAGCTCGTCCACCAGCTCTGATGGTGGACAACCAGCCCGCCATTGCCCTTGCAAAAAATTCAGTCCTCCATGACCGGAGCAAGCACATCGATACCCGTTTTCACTTCATCCGGGATTGTGTTGATGAAGGACAAATTGTTTTGGAGTTTTTCGAATCCGAATGGCAGCTCGCAGACATCCTTACTAAGCCACTCGGCCGTCTTCGATTCATGGAGCTAAGGACCAAGGAATGGTGGGAAACAAGCAAGAGCAGCAGGATTAGGGGAAGAATTGTAAGATATAATCCTGCAGTTTCCTTGTTAGTGAAGTGCAACTTCCTTGCATTTTCATTACACTTTCATTGCACTTTCATGGCAGCCATTTTAGGCTGAAAATCAGCTTAAGTAATTTCTAGGGAAGTCACTAGGATAGTTGCTTTTAGTTCTTATAAATAGTGTGCAGTTTTTATTTGTAAACACACCGAAAAACTAAATACTCAATACATTGAGTTGTTCAAAATCTTCTTCTTCCATCCTAAAATTGAAATCAGGGACTAACAGATTATTGACATGATTGGCATGATGGAATGGAATTTGATCAGAATGTAATCTCTAGAATGTAATGAGATGAAGAATGGAATGACTATGGGAAATGAACGAAACAAGTTTATCCATTGATGTGTTTGGTATGCAGAAAGAATAAGACGTGAAAGGAACCTATATTATCATTTATCCGTATTTTATCAAAAAAAATTAATTTCAATATTTATATTAATGTTATTTTCTTATTTATGAAAATATTAATATTATTTTCATATTTTAAAAAATACAATATTTTTAACGAATATTTCTTTTATATTATTACACTCATTTTATATAATAAATAAGTGAATTATCTATATTATATATATTAACTACTATGAATATGTCATTACATAAACCCCTATAAGCATATGCAGTTGTATATAATTATTTATAATTTAATTTAATTTATGTATAGATATATAATATATATGATCCTATAATAATAAAAATAAGATCTTTTTAAAGTATTTATAAATGCATATTTTGTAAAATTTATTTTATAAGTATTTAGTATCTAAGTAAAATATGAATAATAAATAAAAAAATACTTTTAATTATTTATTTGAAATGTATTTTTTTAGAAAAAATTAGTTATGATTTTATTATATATTTTACCATTATTTGTTAGTTTTATATTTTACAAAAATAAATCCCAAAGATATGGGAATGAGAAAATCATGCATTAGCTATGGAACTAATCCATGGAGATGGGTTTTGCAATTCCCATTAGAATATTATTCCTTTCTACAAAAATATACCAATCATAGGATTAGAAATGAGTAAGGAATGATTGTATGATTTCATCACATCAATCATGCCATGTACACAATAAACCCCCATGATGTGAAATTACCAGAGAAGAAGTAGAGCCAACAGCAAACAGCTTTGCACCATTACGCTGCAAACAAAATAAATAAATATAAAAATTGTTGTTGAAAATTTAGATAAATCTATGAACTATATTAAATTTCACTCCAAAGAGATGAGTAAGATCTTCTTACCACTATAGCACCTATCCTCTGCAACAACGAAAAGGAAGTTCCAGGCAATGCAATCTGCACGAGATGCCATAAGTACTAATTCATATTTGGCCAATAAAAAGCAGTAGACGTACTCCGAAATTTACCTGAAATGCGTTATCTGGACAACTGTAGAAATACTTAGCAAGGCGACCGGCGTTGAGCGCAAGAGGGGGACGGAGAGCAACAGTGGGGGCTGGAAGGTAAACAAGCATAAAATCAGCTATTATGGCCATCACCTGAGAACAAGACAAGCTAAAATATGTAAGAACATGAAAGAGGTACAATTAAGTTCATACGATCATTAATACTCTGGAGAGTAAATTGCAGAAGACAATCAGAAGCATCTTTGGGAGATATTGGCATGCCCTAGTTGCTTTACTATCACCAACTATTACTGGTTATCACTAACTAAAAGTTTTACCATTTTTATTGGTACTGGTATATTTTAATGAAAAGTTGATAGCACAGCTGGAGTGCATCTGCTAAATATTGTTCTATGGAAATAAGAGCCATTACTAACACTAGTGCAAAGCAGAGGCAGGTTTCCCATGAGTAGGAAAAATAGTTGAAAGAGAAAAAAAAAATATCTTTTTGGTAGAATTAACCATTTAAAAAGTTAAGAAAAACAAATTTTGACATCCACTTTGGACCTTTTTGAAAACATAAATGTGCGCACCTTTAGGTTCAGCATATCCATAGGTTTGGAAGACTAGCAATATGTAATGTTTTAGGTAGCAACAATAGGCCGCTTTATGCCAAAAAAACTCGGAAGATGACACCCTTAATATGCCAAAAACCATACCATGTTTGAATCATCTCCATCTCAGCAAAATATTGACCTAAATGTATATGAAATACAATTATACGGATACTGAGTTACCTTCAATCTCTTTTGTACAATTATATGGTGGAGGTTATTATTCTGTCTCATATGATGTTTGCAAACCATGAGGGAAAACTCTAAACAGAAACTACACCATTGAAGATCTATTTGTGAGGTGAACATAACTCATTAGGACTACTGATGACATATAATTTAGGAGTTAACTTAAATAGCCTTTCCAAAAAATGATCATTAAATTTTGTACAACGCCAAATAGTCCAGTTAACAGTTTCACTAGAGCAATGCCCTATGCATTTCAAACAGAGCAGATATCACAAAGCTAGTGGTAGTCCCATCATGATTGACAGGGGAGATAACTCCAAATTTGTCTGCAAATTTATACTAAGCAGAAAAATAATAGTAACTAGTGGGTGACAAGAAACCACCATACCACATCGGCAAATACAATTTCCAGCTCATTGAAAAAGTTTTCCTTGCGACGCTGATATTCTGCAGCAGTCTGTGGGAACAAATATATAAAGATTATGATTCAATTAAAAAAAAAAGAAAGAAAAAAAAAAAAGATCGTTTTCTCCACATTTCATTAACAATTGTATGAGGCAAAGTGTTAAACGAACAATCAGTAGAAATGATAATTCCAACACTTTTCAGTATTCAAAATGCAGATTAGTCAGGATTGGTACCAAGATAGAACCTTTGAAGCATACCCTAGCAGAAAACAATAACTTCACCACATGCATCCATTCTCATCTCCCTCTAGACCCCCATTTTGACCACGAAAACTGAATAACTATGTAAAAAATTTATCATTTTACAGAAGGCGCGGAACATCCGTGAATACATAGTATGATCATCATGCATAAGGAAACAAGGACATCTAAAAGATTACATCTTTTCTGAGAGCTATTGAAAAGGGTGTTGGGTTCACCAAAAATCAAATGAAAGCCAGTGAAAGCCATCCCGATTAGACATGTAACTGATAAAGTAATTGAAAAGCTCCAAATAAAGCTCAATTTACCTTGGTGAATACTCCAACACCACATTCAAAGCCAACTTTAGCCAAAAAGAGATCATCTGCCAACAACCTCTCCTTGAATCCTCCAAACCTCATAAGCCAGGACAAAAACCCAGATTTTTCAAGATCGAAATACTTCAAAACAATCGATCCAGGTATCCTTCCGTCTTCAATGGCAACTCTCAAATCCTTAGGCAAGCTCTCGAGATTCCTCCCAGCCTCGGCCAACGCCATCAGAGCTTCGTCCTTATTCCTCTTCTTGTTCTCATCGTCATTCCCTTCATTTCCGCCGTTTTGGTCTCCGCCTCCGCCAGAGCCACCATTTCCGCCACCGATTCCCCCATTTCCGCCGCCGGTCGATAATTTGGCATCGATTTCGCTGTCGGCGGCGGCATTGGTCGAGAAGACAAGGAACAGCGAGCGGCTGCTGGGAGTCAGGACAAGAGAGCCAGCCGTGGAGATTTTGGGGGTGAAGGAGACGGACGGAGGCGAGAGTAAGGAGCCGGAATCTGGGTGGAGGTGGAGAGACTGGGAGCGCGACGGTGATACGGTGAAGTTGAGGGTGGCGGCGGAGGTGGAAATCGGCATTGCAGCAACGGGGGCAGTGAGGCGGCGGAGGTGGAGGTGGAGGCGGCGGCGGTCTTTGGTTCTTTTGTCAACTCAGTGGTGTGGGAATATGTGTGTGTGTGTGTGTGTGTGTGTGTGTGAGTACAGTTTAGGTGGTGGCGCTAGGCGGAGTCTTTTTGAGTTGTATTAGTATTAATTGACCGTTTCCAATTGGTGATTTTAGGGATACCAAATGTTGTTGCGTGCGACCGGCGCAGCTAGGCCTGTTAGTTTTGGAAAATGCTGCGCTTCAGTTACGAAACTATTCCGTCGGGTTTATAATTGTTATATCAACTATCCACGGCAGTTGATCTAACGGTTATAAACTCGACGAAATAGTTCCGTAACGGAATCGTAAAATTTTCCGTTAATTTTATTCAATTAATAATAACTCTTCGTATTTATATTTAACTAGTATGAGTCTCGTGCAATGCACGGTTAAGAGATATTTATTAATATTTATAAAAATTAAAAAATTTTATTAAATAATATTTATAGATTAAAAATATGAAATCAATATGTAATACAATTTACTTATATTAATTTATTGAAAATGTTATATAAAGTTTAAATAGTGCAAAATGACATAAAATATATCTATTTTAAAATTTGTACGCAATCCGTGCGATGCACATAAACTGATAATAAATTACATTATATTTGTTTCAAAATAAGTGTCATTTTTAAAAAAAAAAAGTCAGAAATTCGATTTGACAAAAATGTGATTCCATAAAATAGTTATTTTGGTAAAATTTTATCATATATTTAACAACCTATGTAAATATTAAGTATAAATATAAAATTTATATGGTTTCTTTTCTTAAAATAAATGCATTTTTGGATAAACTATTCAACTAAAAAAAATTAATTAGTTGAGTAATTTATTAAACTATAAATAATTGACTATTTCGTTCACGTCCAAGCTAATATTGACTCGTAAGTTATTGAGTAATTTATTAACCTATAAATAATTGACTATTTTGTTTACGTCCAAGTTAATATTGACTCGTAAGTTATGAATAATTATTTTTTTTCAATATTTTATATATTAATTTAAACCATGCAACTAATAAAGGTAGTAGTCGCAAATTTTGTCAATGTATTATATTCTAAATTTAAACAATGCAACTAATAAAGGTAATAGCCGCAATATTTGATCAAAATGATTCTATACATTAATTTAGGCAGTATTTTTCAAATTTTAGCCAAAAAAAATTACCCAATTTAGTAAATCTGAATTTTGAGGCGGGAAGCTAAATATGTTTTTAGCAATTTTCAGTTACTATTTCAAGTAAATATTATTGTCTCTTTCATATTAAAAGATATTAAAACTCAAAATGTCGCGACTAATTGGAGATAATTTCCTAGCTCACAAATTCAGTTTAAATTAGTCCCTCCTCAAATCAAGGGACTGTATTTAACTGAGATTTCAAATGACATTTTGAGACTTTTTAAGATGTAAGACTTCTTGAAATTTTCAGATTTTAAAAGAATTATGTGAAACCTTGCGGAAGTGTATTCAATTGGGATTTTAATTGACATTTTAAGACTTTTTTAAAATTTGATACTTTTTAAAATTTTTAGATTTAGGAAGAATTCTTTGAAATCTTAAGTCTGGAGGTAAGATTTGAAATGTGATTTCGTATAAGGTTTTTTTGTTTAGAAATCCCATTAAATCTTAAAAAGTCTTAACAAATCCTAGTGTGAAATAAATTAAATACCACAAAATTTTGTAAGAGTTTTTAAAATCTCAATCGCATACCCCAAGACTTTTATAAGTCTTAACAAATCTAAATTGAATACACCAGGATTTCTAAAGCCTTAAAAAGTCCTTAGAAATCCCAATTGAATACACCTCCCTTAAGTTTGGAGGTGGGATTTGAAGTAGGATTTTCTATAAGCTTTTTTCTTTAGAAATTTTACCAAATCTTAAAAAGTCTTAACAAATCATAATCTCAAATAAGTTAAATATATCAAATTCTGTAGAGACTTTTTAAAAATCTCAATTGAATATCTCAAGACTTTTAAAAGTCTTAAAAATCTAAATTGAATACCCTGGGATTTCTACTCTTAAAAAGTCATTAGAAATCTCAATTGAATTTTTTGGTCCGTTGGTATCTGGAACATTCCATTAATATGAACTCCGGTGACTTGCAAAACGCATCGGAAAGGGTCTCGATAGAGAAACTTTCAACGCTCGAGTTTGATCTCGCTCGTGAACTAAAATTGGAATGTAATTATAAATAGCACGTCAATTTTAAAAATACTTGGTAACATATTTTATAAGGAGATTGTCTTCTGGCTCACGTAACCTCATTACTAAGAAAGAGATCTCACGTATCTCGTTTCCTAGAATGACACAATTCTCTATTGCATGACTGATGGAAACTCGACCCGAAATCGAAGTGGTCAATGACAACCCTAATGGTGGATTTGGACCAAACAGAGCTACAATAGTTAAACAGAAAGAATTGAGTTGTTTAACTTGAGTATGTCTAGAACAGCTACCTAAGGAGGTGGAATGGTGTGAATGCATGAAATAAAGAATAGATTGAACACGATTGGATAAGGATAACATGTGGGTAACAAAATTCCTTGGGTAATAAGATTGGGCAGTCCAGGCACTTAGACAGTAAGATCATGCAGATCAGGGACAACTCTAGTAGCTAGATCGGGCAGATCTTAGAAAACAAGGTAATGACTTAATATAAGAGGGTGAGGTATGATCATCATTTTTATGTTATACTCTATACATTCTAAGCTAATATATATTACATATACCATCACTCCCAGATAATAGCTTGAGCGTAAGCTTTTATGTTAGGATAACCCCCAATGCTATTTGTTTGTTATATTTTTGTGGTGTTTTCTTGTGTTTAATGCGCCTTAGTCGAGTCATTTTTAGGTTCATTTTAGTGTCAACCGGTCCATTTTGTCGTGTTTTATGTGTTTTCGTTTTTGTTGTGTATTTTTGTATTTCGGTGTATTTTCTTGTCCCTTTTGGTTTGTTTAGGTCCCCTATGCATGTTTGGAAAGACGAGCCATTGTCCGAGCCGTTGCGAGCCATTGTCTATGATGTAGATGCGGAGCCATTCTGAGACGAGTTAATCGAGCCATTATCTAGCCATCCGAGCCTCCGAGAGAAAGAGATTGTCGATTGAGTCACCCGAGTGAAGGAGCCGAGACCCATCCTCGTTCGCGGTGAAGCTCCTTCGCGAGCACTCGCAGCGAAACCCAATTTCGCGAGCACCCGAGGACCCCTCGCCCAGCAGCACCACTCGCTGTGAGCCTCGACCCGCGACCTGCGAGCCTCCTTCAAGTGCCTCACCACTCGCTGCAAATTTTAGTTCGCGACGCGCCAAACACCGACCCGAGCCTGTCCACAGCAAGCACTCGCAGCGACTCCCTGTTCGCGACCCGCGAAGTGCGATCCGAGGCAGCAAATCGCGGTACTCACTGCGAACTCGCTTTTGAGACCGACGAACGCAACCCTAGCAGCCCAAGCACACCACACACTCACTGCGAAATTGATTTCCAGACCAGCGAACTTAAGAAAATCATTAAATGTGTGTGTGAGAAGTGTGTGTTTTGTTGGGAAACTATAAATACATTTAGTGTCTTGTATTTGGAGCACCTAGATTTCATTTGTCACTTTGCTACTTAAGGAATCGCTCTTTTATTTTTACTTTTCTCTCTACTTTTGTGATTGGAGCTCTATGACATCATTTTCCAGCGACTTTCCGACAACATCATTTTCTATTCAAGTTTCAAGATTTTTGTTTCGATTCTCGTCTAGCACGCAATAGAGGAGTGGGTACTAGCTTCTAACCTCATTACCTCGTGTTTGCCTCGTTTTTGCTTATGATGTTTTTCAAAGTAAATTTGGGTGTTTGTTTGATGGATGAGGGAAAGTTTGGAGCTTTACATTTTTATTATTTGCTTAAGCGATTAGAGTAGTTAATTACTTGCTTATCTAGTTGTAAAGGTTGAGACCTTAATTAAGGCTTGATCATTTAGTTTAGAAAGCTAGTATTAATTACCTAGGCTTAGTGCTTGCATATTTCTTTTACTTTGCATTTTATTTCGATTAGTAGAGACTCCGGTAGTTAAAATTTCCACATTCTCTCATTTAGCTCTCGTTTGGTTTGCTTGCTTTCTATCGCTTTTAATTTCTAACTCCAAACTCATTGATTAGAATGTTTGGGCCTTGTTTTCTCGTTTTGTGCTTTAGACAACTAATTAGCGAATGAAACTCTAAATAGTTTTCCCTAGAGAACGACTCAAATTCAGGTAACTCGGTTATCAACTATCCCACAAATTACTACAAAACACTATTGTGCAAGCAGTTCAAGGACATTTCAAAAGACGTTGGACCGGATAAAGGTTGTTTACACACCATTTGGCTTCGTCTGTGGGACGTGTTCAAAAAATTCATGCCATGGCGAGCGATGACAAAAAAAAATAAAAAAAATTATAATAATAAAACATGGAACGTAGCTTTGACAAGGCTACGGTGTCTAGTCGCCCGCTTGGAGCAGGCCCACCACCGATCTTTTCAAGTTCCGTTTTGGCTCTGATAACTCCAATTTCCAACTTTCTGGGTTTTGAGGTTCTTCGGTATCTGCACCAGTAACCAATTCAAAATTGTTATAGCAAATTGTGTTTTTTTTTCCACCGAGTACATGATGAATCCCGACCTCGGGTCAATTTTTCAAGGAAGGCAGTTCAGAATCTAGATTTAGGGTCGATCACACACAAAAGCACAATAAGTCCTAAACATGCTAATCAAGATTTGAGTTTGATTGAATTATCTGAAGACTACTAAAATAATTAAATAAAATAACTAGTGTTGACAAGTACGTGAGTGCACAGACGCGGGGCTGTGTGCAATCGTGTGCATGGCTAGCACTGGGTGTTGGGCAGTAGATAGATCGGACGCTGACTGGGACGAGCGACTGGGAACTTTCTAATGAGTTTCCAAGCCCATATTCGGCGACGTCAAGCATAATTAGAGAAAAATTTCCCACAAATAAAAATATAAAAAGAGACAGAAAATGCACAAAATACTAAAATAACAAGAAAACACGTAAAAGAGTAGTACTGTTAAATTAAACAGGCCTAGCTCGGCTCGCTAAGGCTCGAGTTCAGCTCGACTTGTTTGATAAATGAGTCAAGCTGGAGGTCATTTAAAGCCCATTTGGTTAATAAGCCGAGCTTGGCTCGACTCAATAAGACTCAAAACGAAATTTTTATATAATTTTATATAGTTCGACTCGTTTAAGATCAAGATCGGCTCGTTAAGGCTCGAACTCGACTCAAAAATATGGCATCTCGCCCGATCCGCACAAAACATAGAAATTGGTATTCGCCCAAAAAACTTCGGACTCTGCATGAATGAAACTAAATCAAATACTCCCAATATAAACATCTTTATGAACATATAACAACCTTTCCCCTCCTAAAATTTAATTTAAATTTAAAAATATAGGTGCTTTTATTTTCATTGTGGTTGAGTAGTTGCTAATTGTATTTTCTTATTAAGTAGTTGTTAAATATAATTAATAATTTTCTTATTAAGTAGTTGTTAATTGTGTTATCGATTAATTAGAAAATATGTTATTTTTTACTTGCTATGTATAGAAGGTTGACTCCACTATGAAGCCAACAATTAGCTCCATAGCAAAATTGGATAACACCCACATTAAATCAACGCGGAATGCGTATTATATCATCACCCTTATCTAATCAAATTTAACTCTCACATTCATATTCTCTATTCCACTTCCATTGTCTACTTCCCAAAATAATAAATACCCACAACTGTCAAGTCGACTTTCTCCATCTCTCTGAGCATGGCTACCTCGTCCTCATCAGGCGCAGAAAGTTAAAGATGGGTAAGCAGATCCAACCGCTTTGACTTCCGTGCCAGGATCATCTCCAAAGAGAGCAACTTCAAGCCCCTCCTGGAGCCTCTCTAGAGCCCATTTCATGCCAAGGGCCTTGCCGATATCCATAGTCGTAGATACCATGGGTCCCACACGACCATCATCACTCACCACTGCGAGGTTCCTGTCTTGCACTTCCACTTTCCCTTCCAAACGCGATACCTTGACGGATCCAACCAGCGGCTTCCAAAGATCCTCACTGTAATTTATGTCCGCTTTGGTCAGTTGATTATGGAAATCATGAAGTTTAGCCAACCAAGACTCCACCAGCACTACAGCTGAATCCCAAAGCATGTTCATATCGGCAATGGCCCATTTTAGTCTAAAATTGAGCATCCTCACGCTCAGATAACGCAGCCTTCTTCAGCCATCTAATCTCCACTTGACATGCCTCATGCTGTTCCCGCAACCCTGCAGTCTTATTCATCAAAGACTGCAGGCGGTCGGCCACAAACGCCAGAGCTTCTACCGTTGGTCATAAAGTAACTGACTCCCAGAAGAAAGTATCTCTAGGCGAGTCCCCTCACACATTCCCAAAAGAAGAACAAGCTCTTCATCCCCTGAGACCACATTACCAAAGACATTTTCGAATAGAACTTCCTCATACCTTTAAACTTCGACCTGAGGACCACCTGCCTGCACCGACGAAGAATCTCCTTGAACCAGAATCGAGACGTCCACTCCCAATGCCATCACCTTTGATGCCGCCACTCCTGGTGTCACGGCCACCTCTTTGTAAACCATTGCCATTCATTACCTACTCTCAGCTACCTTTTT